TATACCCTTTGATTTATACCACGTGGCAATATCTGAGAGCGAGTACACTTCTTCGCCTACGTAACGCTTTAGAAATCTAACGCTTTGAAGTAGTGGAAGAATTAGATACTCGCACTTTCCGAATTTTAATCAGAGGAAAGGAAATCTTAGCTGTACAGTATTTTGTCTGCCTTCAGAGAAAAAAAAAAGGACAAAACTTTATAGAAATCCTCAATTCGAGAAACTACGAAAGTTTTTTTTTTTTTTTCATTTAGTTTTGATTCAGTTCTTGTTCATCTTCCTTCTCGACGGTGGTCTGTATTCTAAAGTAAGTCTTTTTGATTTCTTGGGTTACATAAGTTAAAATCACCAAGTAACCAGTCTTTGTTTGCTTTCAATCTCTGTTTGAAGCTATTCTGTTATGTTCTTTATGGTCTCAACCAACGTCATGTTTTTGATCCGATTTTCTTAATTTGATGCATTTTGTATGTGAAAATATTGATAATTTGATTATTTATTGGTCGATTATAAGTAGTTTTTAGTTGCTTGAAATGTTAACCTCACTGATCCAATGTAATTGGAATCTTTTCTTTGTATAATATGTTAGTAGCTTTGGTCTTGAATGTGTTTCTTGTCTTGAGTTTCAGTTTCTGGACTATTGTTCGAGGTTATTGTGTCTGAAGCAATGCAGTTATATCATCATCCTTACTCATTAGACAGTCAAAGAGTGAGACTAGCTTTGGAAGAGAAGGGCATCGATTACACATCATACCATGTGAATCCCATCACAGGCAAGCACATGGATTCTTACTTCTTTAGGATGAATCCAATCGCGAAACTTCCCGTTTTCAAGAATGGTTCTCACATCATTTTGGACACTATTGAGATCATAGAGTATGTTACATACCATTGTTAATAATGATTATATTCTCCCTTTGGTTGATTGTGTTTAAGTCGCGAGAAGAGAAGTAAAGCTTGTGGAGGGGGGTCTTTGATTTTGTAGGTACTTAGAGAGAATAGCTGAGGTTTCCTCTGGTGTAGAAGATGCTACTTTTGGTAGAGAAGTTCTTGAATGGATGCGGAAGATTAGGGAATGGGACTCCAAGCTTTTCACTCTAGCACACATACCGGATAACCGTCGCCTCTATGTTTCCAAGTTCTTGAGGATGGTTGTGATTGCAAGGATGGCTGAGTCTCCAGAGTTGGCTAGTGCGTACCATAAGAAGCTAAGGGAAGCTTATGATACGGACGACAAACTAAAACATCCTGAGGCATTAAGGAGAAGCAAAGACCATTTGCTTAGGCTTCTAGATGAGATTGAAACGAAGTTAGAAGGGACGACGTATGTGGCAGGGAATGAGTTTAGTATGGCTGATGTGATGCTGATCCCGGTGCTAGCTCGGTTATCGCTGTTGGATTTGGAAGAAGAGTATATAAGTAGCAGGAAAAATCTTGCTGAGTATTGGGTTGTTGTGAGAAAAAGACCAAGCTACAAGAAGGTAATTGGAAGATACTTCAGTGGCTGGAGAAAATATGCAACACTTATAAAAACTTGGATGTTTGTTAGAGTCAGAAGTTTGCTCAGAAAATATTGAATTATAAAAAAATTTTGGCTTGTTTCTTTTTATTCACTTTTGATGTTCGTTTTTACAGAACATTGCTTGTAAAGCTGAGAAAAGTTTTTACCTTTGATCGCCAAAAACACACGGAACAATATTTATTTCAGAAATCTCGAAGTATACTTAAAACTTCTTTGACAAATAAAGAAGAGAATAAAGAATGTTACTGCTCTTACATTGAAATGTGACTTTTAATTATGGTAGAAGTTTTTTACTTTTGATCATAAACAAAAGAATTTAGAATATACTAAAAAGGGAAAGAAAACCCTAAAGGGGATTTTTCCTATGAGCCAAATTAACCAACCAATCACTGTAATTCTCCTCAAGAGCTGCGTTGTATCCATTTCAACTTCATGGACTGTACTTCTCTAAAGTTAAGAATATTTAATTGTTGAGCTTCTTCTCTAAAGTTAGATTCCCAGGTATAGGGCTGTTTGCCGTTTTTTCCAACCCGTTGTTCCGCATCCAAGGAGGAACGTTCTGTTTCTGTTGCCGAAAGTAACTAGTTCCTATATCAGATGAAAACTCTCTTTTCCGGTTTGGAGCGGTTGAGACAGTACCGGCAACACTTGGGCTGTTCCAAGAGGGAAGGTTGGGCTGGGTTGTAGCTGGTAAGATCTCACTAGAGCAAGTCGGGTTTCCCATGGAAGAGGAACAGACTGTTCCGTTTCTCTTAGCGCAAAACTCACCATGAGAAACTGGTGGTAGGGGTGGAAATGGATAGAACGGGATGCCAGGAGCAACAGACCAGCTAGTCAGGTCCTCTTTGCCGGGTGAACCAAATTGATGAACGATGCTAAGCGGAATCCCATAGGAGACTGGTAACCGAGAAAGGAATTTTCGTTGCGGCTGTGCGGTAACTGCATCAGACACATCCGTGCAGGGTGATGAAAACCCGGGTGGAAGGTCGTCTTGGACATCCTGATTTCCATTAGTTTCATCTGTTCTTTGTTCTTCTGTCACAGACGGCTGGTCCCATCTGCTTTTACGTTTGCGTCCATTTGTCTCCGGAAGACTGGACTTAGGTTCCGAACATCCCTCAGATACAGAAACTGTTTCAGGAGTTGCAGCCGCTGATGATATGACAGACACAATTTGTTCTGCAGGTCTGGGCGACTGATGATCATATCTAGGTTCTTGTGATGCTCTGAATCTGCTGTTTATAGGTGATCTCATGGAATCTGATCTTTCCTCCCTGTCAATGCGCCAAGGTCTTCTAAAAGGCTTAGGGATCCATCTGTCTCGGAAGTTCCGTGCAATTTGATGAACCTGCAGGCATACACATGAACCAATTGAAAATTAGAAGCCATACCCCAGATACTCCCTCATCTTATCAAGGTCCAAAAATGCGGATTACTAAAACAAATCAAGAGTTCAAGATTCAATAAAATTTCATTGGAGTAAATGGTAAGCCTTATACCTGTTTGTCATCATGCTCGGTGAGTGTTAGAATAGAGTCCTTAAAGCTGCACATAGATAAACATGAAATGTCAGATGGGTCTTGGGGGGGGGGGGGGCAATTACGTGTAAAAGCAAGGCTCTTTGAAGAAAGATAAGACTATTTACGAAATTCACAAATTCAAGAAGGTCAGGTGACAGCTGAAATAAACCAAATCATATAACAAGGCAACTCAACTGAACAAATTTTAATGGCTAGATTTTACTCTTGACACTAGAAATATTTCCAAAAGGTAACTTTCACTCAACCAAGGCTAAGAATTAATAAAAATACGACTTCAAATCTTTTTTTATCAAAAGCGACAAAGCTTTGATTAAAAATTACTAACCTTTCCATCCCTGCACAAGGAGGTCTTCTGATTATATGTTCCAGTGCAAGAATTTCCCTTGTAGCAAGATACTCTAATACCTGATGCACAAACAGTTATATTGACCTGTAAGCAAGCTAGAATTTCAAGAACGTATTATTAGCTAGAAGATCTCAAAACTTTCTGGTATTCACTTTGCCCTGAGGTTTCATACCATACAGCTGAGTTTTAATGAATATTTCACATTGCCCAGGATGTAAAAAGAAATGCCTTTGGGTTGGGATTATCATTAACCAGCCAATGCCAAGTATGTTCTGGCCAATATATACACACAAGTACAAGGAATGTACCTTCAAAAGTTTTCGGAGTATTGGGGTCTTTTTAAAATCCCTCCGGTATTGTTTCATGATATTATGTAACATTTGCAGACCTGGATGTGTTTGAGGTTATTTCATTTTTACAAGATAAGAAAAAAGACAGACGCCTGAACCAAACTAAAGAAGATAGACATACCGTTCTTGTTGATTACGTCCACTAAAACAGTTCGCGACTTTGTCTTCAAAAGGGCATCAAGAATCATTGAAAGATCTCGATTGCTGCAATAGGTTCACAAACAACAAAGGAATTCAGGCACCAGATGCAGAGTAAAAAAATTCACAACGGAAACTAAGATAAGCAGGTCAGATTCTTGAAGACCTTTGAATTCCTTCATTATTGGCATTGCCTCGGGAAGCGGCAGTGAGAAGCAGAAGTTTCAAGTAGCCTTTTGCTGAATCCTGTTTATCAAAGAAACGGAAAACCAACTTAGATATGCAATTTGTCCTGGCTAGAGGGGAAAAAGAATAAATTAAAAGTACAAGATCCCACAAACCAAAAAAAAACACCTTAGAAAGGAACAAAAGAGGATTTCTTAACCTTATAGGCATAACTAATTAAAATGGAAAAGTTTAATAGACTTAAGGGGTAATATGCAACTTACCCTCCGCTTACTTATCCCTCCTGCAACATCTAGTAACTCGTTCAGTTTCCCTTCAACTGCAAAATTGGTGGTGTAATTAGTGAAAATGACTGAATGGTGGTGGTATCTTAACAATTCACAACTAAAACTACCACCATACATGTTTCAATACGCCCACTGGGAGAAACTTCCTCCGATCCTTTAAATTTGATAGGCTGCTGTTGCAGCTTATTGGCTGGTATAATTTGTGCTTTGTTAACACCAGGAAGAATACCCCCTTTGTCTCGCTTACTAGACCCAGATGAACGAGAAGTTTTCGTACGAGGACGGGGTCGTGCAAGTATCTTCTTATCTTCACCCGATCCATGCTTTGCCGTCTTATCAGCATTTGCCCCATCCGAGGAAAGTCTACTGAGAGAACTGGACGTGGGAGATATGCTCTTAGTCTTCTTTTCAACAGAAACCTCCTGCTGGACAGCAGTAACAGGCATGTCTGTCGAAAGTTCCTTCAAAACAGCAGTTGGTTGAAGGAATGGAAGAATCTCTCTCTCTCGAAGTTTTACTGATACCGAGCTCTGTGATTGGGAGATAAAAGGAGCAAGGTCCTTGGAATCATTAACTTTTGTATAGTCCTGTGCCATTTGCACGTCAGCATCACCAGTGAAGATCCTAGTCGTTGCATCTAAGATTCCTTCCCCACTTTCCTCATCATCAACGATCACAAGTTCAGGATACTCTTCATCTGAATCACTTTGAACAACTACATCACCATTTAGAGGATCTCCTCCAATATACCCTCGGCAATGTGATGATGCGCAATAGCACTTTTTGGCAGCAGCACCAAAAACTCTCACATAGTTGTAGTCAAATGTCAACTCTTGACCCTGGCAACACACCAGACAGATTAGAAAACTACTGAAAAGAAAATCACAGCGTATCATTATTTTTATCAGGCCTTGAATTTTTTTGGCGTTTGCATTTCTATTTATGTTTACATGTTAATTACTGTGTTAAACTCAAAGAGAACACAACACCTTAATGCTTTCATCGAACATCCTTTGAAAATTGTTGGGCGTTTGAGCTACAATTTCCAAAGAATGTTTGATAAGAAAAATATTATTTTGTGTTTTCCAAATGTACATAACAATTTCGCTAGTAAGATACTTCCACTAACAATCCATATATTTTCTTCGTTATATATGGATGGTGGATTTCAGGAATTAATTAGCTCATTTTGGGATTTATAGCTGTACAGATCTGCGAGAGAGCCTACCTTCTTAAGGTCTTGCATGGAGAATATTCCAACGCAAATCTCACCATTCACCATCCACTGCAAAAACATTTAAGAAGTAACAAATGAAAAACATGCACACAAGAAATCAGAAGAAGTCGAATGCCTATAACAAAGAAGCAGACGAGCTCAAGAAGAAAGTTCCCAACTAAGATTTTTATCACTGAATTTATAATAAGACTAGGAGGCATGATATTACACAGAACGCTTAATAGTCACCTTTTCAGTACGGCAGTTTGGTTCACAACTATGGTTAATGAAACGCCCTAAATTTCCCTTTGCACCAGCATCTATTACCTGCATTAAAAAACTTACAAAGTTATTGCAATGGCAACTTAGAGGCATAGCTTCCAAAAGGAAAACATAAAAAAGGGAATACGAGATAGGACTTTAAAGCCAATGCAGATGATATGTTAAGAGGAAAGTCACATCATCTTACTCTTCCAAAGAACTATTTTTTGGCACAATTGTATCAGATAAGAGACACACAATTATCTAACCAGAGCTGCAAGCAGATTACTTAAGCAGATGGAACTTCACTTCTATAGTTACGCTATCTAAAATCAGAAACAACATATTCTGGCAATGATACATGGTCGATCACAAATTATTTATTTAACAACTCCACACCGCTTTAAACAGAAAAATCACAAAAAAAGATCAATCAAAGATGACGAAAAAGAAGCAGCTGAGTCATTATTAAGGAAGATGTATACCTCATTCCCATTCAGTGTCATGAAATAGAAATGTTTCTGACCCTTGGAAGCATACTCCTTTTGACGAGACTCATAAGATTGCATATCAAGCACCTGTTATGAAAGGAGATTACTCATACGATGGTTCCATATATTCGCTAACAAACGGTGTATACATGTATGAAAATAATATACTGACAAGGAAAAAACTTAGAGGCTGGCTAAAGCCCATCTACAACTGATAACATCTCTAAAAGTTGAAAGATCATCACAAGCATACCTCTCCAACATATTCAATAAGGAATTGTCCCTCACGTACATCCTCGAGCAATCTCAGCCCATAACCCTTCTTACCAGATTGGAATCTCTCAAACTTAACATACTTCCGTTTTTGAAACTGCAGGAATATGTGCCAGAAGATTGAGAAAGATATAACTGACAGTAAATGTAACCCTTTTGCTTGCAAACAAGAAATCATACCTGCTGATTTGAGCACAAATCACCAGCCGGGCAGGTACCATGAAGACATTCAATGTTAAGCATTCTATTGAGACATTCTTCTCCACAACCCAGCCTACCATCAGGTGGTGGTTTGCAGTGACAAACCATTATCTGTCCAAAATAGATGGGAACATGATAACTGAGTAGTAACTCTAGAAAAGGAAAAAAATATTGAAACCTCAAACACATTTTCTACTATCGCATCATGATAATAACAAACAAGCAAAATACAAGGAAATTAACCTCGTCAATTGTTTGAGATTTACGGTTACGATGAAGAAACTGGTTTGTTTTTATAGCCTTGAAGCACGCCTTTTGGTTAGCTGCAAGAATTACGGACAACGAAAACACAAACAAGAATTAAATACATGACAAAATCATATGATAATTTAAACATTCTAGCCATGGGTACTCCCAGGTTCACCCATATTGAATTCTAAGTACCTGGCAAACGTTTGCTCTTTTGTTCCTTGTCTTTCCCCCTTTTAGCTGCCGCACAATCATATGCATCTGCTTCATCTTGTCCTATGCCCAACTCTGCATTAATGTCTTCATTTGACATCTCTTGCGATATTGAGCAAGCAGCAAAATCTTTATCTGAGTTGTTCGTGCAGATCCTTTTAACAATAGAGAAATCCATATTAGATATAAAGAAAGTCCGCGACAGATCACAATAGATGAATGAAGTAGCAAGTGTGGAAAGAAAGTCATAGGTAAAACAGCTACGGACAGTAAGTACAAATATGATGAACATCAAAAAGAGGGAAAAAAACTCCATGCTGATTATAAACATTTGATATTAATCTCAAGATGAATCTGCTATAAGACTTGGCAGATATTTTAAGCAGATTATATAAGAAACCTATTAAGAACAACAGAAACTGGAAATTCTTATTCAAATTTAATATATGCTCGAAGAGTAAATACCATCTAGAGCTCTCGTCAATTGATCCGACAACACAAGCAGGTATTCGTCGCCATTTAAAGCAATCATCACATCGAACCCATGCACTCTCTGTGGAAGAGCTATCCTCAATAGGAACGTCCATGACCGTCTCCCCATGGGTCACATCTGATGATATGGTACCATTAATGGCACTGGTTTTCCAAATATCAGTGTCTAGAGGAGTACCTATTACATGAATTCACATAACACGCAGCTTAACAATTTGTGTATCCAAAAGAGTGGAAACCTCATAAAGAATTGGAAAACACTAGGATGCTATTCAAGTAACCATTAAATGGTGTCAGATTTTTAGGAAACAATCAGGGTGTAGACAACACTTAAAGCTAATCAAAAGAGTCGTACCTGTTGTTTCTTGATGATCACTATCATCCCTTCCAATACTCTTTTTGCGTTGCTCTAATCCCACATGAGATTCATTTTTTCTCCTGTCTTTGCCAGATTCGGAAAACTTGGATTTCCCTTTCTTTGTTCCGTTACCTTTTGACTTAGGATGTTTACCTTTTTTTGGGCTGGGAATTAGATGTGAATCATTGGCCAAAGGAGATCTTGAAGCGCGCAAATCATCTTCTTTTTCTAATCCTCTGTTCTTGTTGACAAGATCTTCTGGAGTGCTGAAAAAACCATGATGCAAACCCCCTTTAGGTCCAATGCTAACAATGGATTCAGGAACAGAGTTGATAACTTCTGAATCTGGAGAAGTTTCTGCATCCAGAGACCGTGTTCCGGTAGCCCTCTCGCACTCTTCAACCATTATACTAGAGGAAAGGTGCGGGTCCTCAACTAAAACATCACCACCCAGCTTCCTGCATAACCCCCCAGCGTCCTGGTTAATTTTCTCATCCCTAATGGAATCAGATGACAGCTGATATGAAAGTTTCTCCACAGGTTTCTCTTCTACTTGCTCTCTAGTTTCCACAGTTTGCAGTTTATCCTCGACGAAATTTGCTGACCCTGCCAATTCTAATCCTGTTCCCGCCTTCACAATACCATTAGCAGGCAAAGAGTTACCGCTAACCTTAGAGACTGTAATGTTCAGAGGATTTTGGCCATTACCAAATTTAACTTTCAAACGAAGGCCTGAGACACTTGATGGTTGGATGTTTCTGTTAGATCCTTCTACACATCCGTTGTGAGAACTAATACGCTCTCCATTTTTAGGGCAGCTTTGAGATTTATGTGGTTCGTGATGTGGAGGTCCATCATAGGGACTATTATTGCTCTGTAAGAAGATTTCAGCAGTCCTACTTGGTAATCCCCACTGAGATGAACGGCCTGGTTTTGAAACAGAGCTCCTCTTCTGCTTTGAGCACTTGAAAACTGATTCAAGTTTTCCTTCTGATTGTTTCTTCTTTGAGGGTTTTCTCGGATGAGGAGCACTCCTTTTGGTCTGCGCCATATTACACTGTTTACCATCTCGGGCCCTCCTTCGTGAACTAGGCATGCCAGTTTCAGAAAAATTAGTCCCAGATGCAGAAGCAACTTCACCGCCAATTCGACCGTTGCCATCTACTATTCTGAGTGGTTCTACTGCATTGTCAGGATTATGATGTTCGATGCCTCCATTTCCAAATTTCAATGGTAAACTCCATATCAAAGAAGATTCAGTAATAAGTGAGTTGGCTTCCATACCTAAGGTATTTTCATCTATTGGTGATATCTGATTGAAATTTTCAGCTCTCAGATCAGCAGTCATATCATTATTCATACTCAGAGCGGCCACAGCAGTTTCACTTGATAAATGCCCAACACGGTTCTTTAGCAGTTTTTCATTTTTCTCGAAAAGATCAGTATGAAGCTCATCGTCATGTACCAACTTCAAATCTGGATTGATTGTTTCTGTTTCTGTGATGTCGTCAAGATCATATGAACATAGGCCGCCGTCATTATTATTTAACATCTCTGTGCTAGCTAATGAAGGGGATACCACGGTAGGCATATTGCCTTCAATTTCACTCGACGACTTCAAATTATTCTCCGTGGCGGTGCAGCTAAAAACTCCAGAGTCCAATATTGAATCTGGAAACGGAGAACTCCGAATGAAAGATATACCATCAGAAGAACAAGTATCTTGATCACTCAATGGTTCATTTCTTCCGTCCTGACAACCATCAAAGGTAGAGTCAATACCATCACTTCCAACTTCGTCATTTCTTATCTCCTCCGCGGTTTCCAAAAACTCGAATTCTTCAGGTGCATTATTTACAAAAGCCAATTCAGTTTCGGTTTCATGTCCCTCTGTAGGCAATATTGTGCCATCAGACTCTTCCTCTTCTTTAGGCTGGGGAGTTCCTTTCTCTTGCATACTCCCAGAAACAATGGGTACGCAGGACAAGTTTTTCTCCTGACTTTCCTTTCCATCATCCTGTTTGTTGCAATTTACCAGTAAAACANCATCAGAAATCGATCCTTGAGTTTGTTGAAGTACNTCTGAAACCACNCCCTGCTTCTCACTGTCATTAGCATTGCAACAAACAGCATCAGAACTTTCAGCATGTTCTTTACAGATACTGTTTCCGTCTCCCGTTTGCNCAATCTCTATAAAGCAATTCCTCTCANCCTCCATCAGAGAGTTTATAACCGATGCAACCTGGGGAGTCTCCAAACTACTAACTAAATCAATACCGCAGCCAGCATAACTCGGTTTCTCAGAGAAATTTTCATTGATGTCCATCGCAAGACTTGAGCCCGGAGAGTAAGNACTCTTTTCGCCNNAAGAACCACACNCAGAAGGGTCACTAATACCCTTTCCCTTGCAATCCATCGTAATGCCACCTGTGTCAAAGCCAAAATATAACATTATCAGAAAAAGGGATTTGTGAAAAATCCATCAAGGAAGACGCTTTGGTACTCAAAACATGCAATACTTCACGAACCCTATGCAGATTCCTAATAGAACCCATCCCCGAGTTAACATGATCCAGAAATCGATCAAACAAACACCAACAACAAAAAAAAACTTGAGAAGGTCAACTGCATACCTAACCCAACACAACAGACGCATCAATCATCAACATTGATGACAACCACCAAACCCTACGATCCTAACTCGATTCAAACACGCCACAAGGAGAATAACAAAAATAAAATTCAACAATCCCTGAAAAAAACACACAAAAANGAAACCCTAACCTCATGAATCAGAAGCGATTAAGCGAATGCCAACGAACATAAGCTTGGAAAGCGAGAAACGAAGAAAACCCTAAAGAGGTAGAGGCGGAGATGATTGTGATGACAGAGAGAGAAGAAGGAATCGGAAGTAGGGAAGAGACAACGCGAGGCGGTCAGATTTTGAGATACCGA